ATATTTCTTTGGAGAATTCAGCACAATGCGGTGTTGCCACGTATTTCACCCATTTATTAACAGTTTGTGTGTAACAATGAATAAAAAGTATTCTTTCGAAATGAATGAACCACTTAATTCAGTTTGTGTTAGTATGATAGCTAGTGCCTATATAACCCTATCTAACCCAAACTAACCGAAATTTACCCAAATTGAATGAATCTAGATGATAGGTATCCAAGGAATGTTTTTTGGCTTAATTTATGGACCCTTCAGGAAAAATTTTCTCTGAGTGCTTAATTTGAAGTGATCTTTAAGGCAAGGATGGACAAAACTAGAAATTACGAGAACCTCAAACGACACCATCACCTGTTTAAGATGCAATCTTATAGGAGAAAAAATGTTATGTTGCATATTTTTCTGATTTTTCACAGCCATATATATAAAGTGAAGATCATAGACAACATTTAAATATATCTGTTCATTATTTTAGAAAGCAGAAAACAATAAAAAACAAGCAAGATCCATGACTATTAAAACTCCAAGAATCCAAATCTTTACTGCGGGAACTAATTGCATAAATCACTAACGATGGAATTAGCATGAATTTCAGCATCAACCACTAATGCTGAATGAAAAACGTGTTAGAATCTACAAGAATCCGTGTTTTTCTGAGGTTATAATTTCGTTCGCAATGGAAACATCAAACCGGCAACGCGGCAGAGAGACGCGCAAGCGCAATCACCCAGGACTGGTGCGGACGGTTAAGAAAAAAATATCTGCTTACCGGTTTCTACATTGTATAGGTTACCTGGTAAGGATCGAAGGAGACTGGAACACTAGGTATGAAATGGCAACCATGTATAGCATGAAATCGGTCTGTGATGGCAACATTGTTACCATTTGACATCTGACTGGAAAAATGTCAAAAACCGCTTTTTAACAAGTATTCTTGTTCTTCGATCTAATAACAAATGAAATCCAGAAGGGAATCCGTGGGACTCACAGGTTTATTTGTGCACAGAGTGTCTGCTATTAAAGATAAATATAATAAAGAATAACATAGATGACAAAATAAAGTTCTAATGCTGATGCGGATAAGGTATTGCAATGTCGTCGTCGAATTCTGCAATGGAGGTTGATGGAGCCCCAGGAGGTGCTCCTGGCCCTTTAAAGAGAAGTTCTAGTGCACCGATGATTAATGAAGTTTCCAGTTGTAACATGACATCAGGCAGTTCCAGCAGCGCTACTCCCAGGTACGATAATTTTAAATATAAATTACAGATTTGCCAATTGTTACATACTATTTAAGCGTTATTATTTTATTTTAGAAAATGTATAGAATCCGACAACTCTTAAGATTTACTGTAGCCTCTGTAGAGTTTTCTGTAGACACAAATAATGTTTTAGACAGCATTTAGAGAAAGCGATATTTAAAAAATATTGCACTTTCGTGTGTGCATCGCTTTTAAAAGCTAGAGTCAAACAATAATATACTTATTAGTTCCTTCTTGTTTAATGCCCTTAAAGCTTTAGCCAAATAATTTCTGTTTCTGCTAAAATGTAACTTGGTAACTTGTAGCTTGCTATGCAGAAAAAAACTTCTCTCTCTTCAACGTGTTTTAGGGTTCAAGTTATGTGAACTCCTGTTTTGATTTTCTTAGGAAAAATGGTATAAAAAGTGCTGGAAGTCTTCAGTAACTTAACGAATATGTTGATTTAATTCTACCTAAATCTAAGTGGGAAAAACTTAAAAAATACCCAACATGCGATGCACTTTGTTCTGAACTGTCAAATAATATTTTTGTTCACGGTTAATTTCTATTTAGTCAGGGTTTTTTGGTCATTTTTGATTTAAGTATAATTTTGTTAATTAATTTGAAACTTCAGTTTTTAAAAACAATTTTATTTCAAATTAATGCAGACACTAATGCCTTAACTGAAATCCTAATTATTTTACTGGTGACCGAACCTACGTTCATAGTCTACGGTTGTAGACTATGACTCTTACAGTCCGACCTAACTATCTTCTGACCAAACCTCTTATGACTAAATACTCGTTTCTGATGTGACTTCTTTTATAGTTATATAATGCTGACAATAGAAAAAACGATATATATAACGTCTTATTTTAAAATAATTGTCGGCATAACTGGCCATATAATTCCTCCCTCCTTAAGTCTGAGAAAATAAAGATTTATTTTCGAAAGTTTTCAAATGCATGTACAATTTTTCGTCTTTCCTTTTCTTTCTGTAGTAATAATAATATATTGTAATACATATAATGAATACTGCAATTACTGTTACAATTAGTATCAATGAGATACTTCCATGAATAATACTCATTTTTTTAAGAGGATGCGTAATTAAATTATTTTCATCTTCCAAGTCGTCATGAATGTTTTGGTTTTAATCTGAATGTATCTGGTTTTTGAGAATCGTAGATTTTATATTTGATTTTAACTGTACATTCAGCTGGGAATATCAAAGAGGGTTGATTTATTATCTCCGCTGTGTTTTGATTTGGACATTGGAATATTACATTATTATTATCATCTTTTATATCATCCCATTATCTTTTATATCATCGCACAATTGGTTCGYTTCTRGTMTTGATKTCAAGCAAAAATGCTCTACAGCKTGGCCTATAAATGTTATGCCGGTTGCGTATCTTAACAACCCTTCGCAAAAGTAAGAACAATAAACTGACGTACTCTGAATTGCTATACCTGTAGCAAATCTGAACCGCACTACAACAAGGAGTTCTAATAGAGCATGATGGGAACTATAAAAGGTAGTGGTAATGTTGTGGGAGGCACCAAGTCATATCCATCACGTGAACGTTGAAAGAAACAATTTTTGCTTATTTTGATGGACACAATATTCAGAATGAATGCTTTTTTCTTCTATCGTTTTTCCACACGATTGGGTCACTTGCAATCCTGTGGATTTAATTTTTGACTTGAGTTTACTATGATACTTGCATCTTACATGAGCTTTCAGCTTCAACAGCAGCTGTAGATTTTGAAAATCGGTGCAAGATGGAAAATGTTACCATTGCAAGACAAAAAGTTGATTTTTTGACATCACCGTGTAATTAAAAAAGGTAGAGAAAAAATTAAAAAACCGTTTTGAGATATAAAATATATTTGTATACCTTTGATGTTGAAATCCAAAAAATATTTTTTTGCTCAATTGGGAGCTTGCCAAACTTTCAGCAATTTTGCATTAGCGCCCCATACACGGGCAGATTATCCGTAGTTCAGATACGTAGAGATTTGATTCGACAGATCCAGATCGGACGAATTAAATCTTTTCCTCTCCACTAATTGATTCATTTGCCACTTTGTAGGAACTTTATCCGAAGCACTATTTTTTTGCAAAAGTCCGGTGATTTAGAAGAATTGGACTAGACAACACTTCACACAGAAGTCAAATTGCTCGCAGCAGTGATAATTTATCCAGCTCCAAAGTTAGGGAAATTTGGCCGTGTAACGTTTATTTTGTTGAGCAATTTATTTGAAAAAAATAAGTTATTATCTCCGTGTGTCAATAAATTTAGTAAATCTGCTGTCGGCAAACAGCTTTTAGCTAAAATTTAATGTGTACCGTTGATCCAGCAAAGACGTAATATTGATTTTATTGATATGTGTGTTAACCATCTTGTATTGTTTCAGCAGTCAAGCTTCGTTTCCAAATTTATTCGGTTTTGTAAACTCCACCAGAAACCGACGACACAGTGCTAGTTTTAGTCAAGTTCCAGGATCTCCGGTAAGTAATTATGGTTATTCTTTTAATAATTTAACTGACATCAAATAAG